GTTGAAAATGTACTAAATATAAAATGTGTTACTTCTGTAATAAATATATAAAAGGGAATCTTAAATATTTACAGTTAAACCAATGTAATCTATCGGAACCCTACAACACCCTTCACTACCAAAGCTGCTATCCAACAGGCCTTTCCCTTTGACAACATCTTTGGTTCTAGTGTTCCCCGTTCCCCAGTTAGTTTATTTTTCACGCCCCCTAACCGCCTCCCCCATTATAAACTTGGCTTCGGCTCTGGGCAGGAAACCATCTTTTAAAAGTAAGCAAACCGTGACCTCTGATATAGTCTACTCAACCACTGACTGTGTGGGCCTACTATTTCGTCATGGGTGAACCTAAACGACAAAATACCTTCCCCAAAGCACATCATTTTTAACTTGTTTCTCTCATTAGGCCAGCATACTCTACCGTTTATGGTCTCACGGTACAATGCGATATAAAACGGGGTTGTTAAAAAAAATATGAATGCCTATTATATATATTCCTTTTGTTGATCAGCTTTTATGCATCATTGGAGAAATTTTCCGATCTGCTAACACCACGTGTACATGCGTTACTTCAAAGCAATACTTTATTCCACAACAACAACTATATCTTCGTATCGTTTGAATTCATATAATATGTCACGGTATAATGCATTACAAACATACTTTTTGAAAACCTTTTTCTGAAGCAATGAAAATATCGTGTGAATGTTAAGGGGATCTGTTTCACAAGACATCATCTGTTCGATAGTTGGGATTTTGAATTCATACTTACCTCATCGCCACCATGGTGAGTCTGATGTGAACAAATTTTGGAAAATGGCATCTCTTGATACCCAGATATCGAGACCGGGTTGCAACTGCAGAGCTATTGCAAACCTATGCAGGGGCAGATTCAGGATTTAAATTTTAGGGGAAGTGAACTAGATACCTAGCCCACCAGAGCTCCATAATGGTTGAAAAAATGGTCCTTTGTCAAGTAATACCACATGCATACTTGTAAAAATCATGAATGTCTTTCATTTTAGGAGTTTAAATTTTAATTGCAAGTAATCATAGCCGACTTGACCCGTATACTTTTGTGTGATTATGACAGTTTGGCAGACTCAAACCCCCAAAATGCTATAAATACTTAAGTGATATTTTATATTTTTACCACTAAACATTTAAAAATCAATCTTAATTACTAAAATTAAGAATGTTTAAAAACTTTGAAGTAAACCGATAGTGTAATGTTATTTTAACAAGAGAAAGACTTTATTATTTTGTTAAGATTCTGCCTACATCACACTTTCTTAATGTTTTGGTAAAAGTGTATGACCTTTATAATGTAGACCAATAGAAATACTAATGTCCGAGAACAACACCAACAAGTAATGAATCCACTAAATATGTGAGATTTAATGACAAAAGTCAACACTAAATCAATTCGATGTATAAAACTTGTATAAAATTGGATTTCTGAAAGTTTACTGCATAGGCCTATATTTCACGAAAGACATATGGTTCGGTGTTGATTTGATTTACATACAATACAATCTTATGTGTCACATTTCTGTCTGTAAATCTGTCTTTTCTTTCTTTCTTTCTTTTTTTTTTACAGAAAACCAACACAACATTTATTAGTTGTTTATATTTAGAGGCGGTATATTTTCATATTTTCATTTTTATCCCGTTCATAACTCTATCCATAACTTCAAATACTGTACCTAGTGATTTAAAACAGGCAAAAATAATCCCTATTTTTAAGAAAGGAAATATAATAATAAATAATATAATAATTCTGGATTTATATAGCGCCTCACGTTGACACAACCTCGAGGCGCTTAACAACAACAGAGAAGAATAAAAATTAATTAAGTTCAAATGATTGGTTTGATGATTATCAATAAATGTTATTATTACAATGCTTGGTAATTGGAAATATTTCAAGGCCTGTTACTTTCCTATTCATCCCAAATCCTTTCATTTTTCTTTCCCTTTTGCTTCTTGTCTTTCTTCCTTTCCCTTCAAATGTTCCTGATCTTTACTTTTCTTGTCCTTTCTTATGTTTCCTTATCTTTCACATTCCTTTCTTAGATTCCTTATCTTTCCTTTCATTTTCTTTCTTATAATTAGTATCTGTCTTTCAAATTTCATTCTTATATTTCTTATAATTTCTTTTCTTTTCCTTTCTAATGTTTCCATGTCTATCTTTTCTTTCTTTTCTCTTCTCATGTTTCCTTATCTTTCCTTTTCCTTATTCATCCTTAGTTTATCTTTCTTTTCCTTTCTTATATTTCTTATCTTTCTTGATTCCAAATTCATTGCTTTCCTTTCCTTTTTTTATGTTCCCTATCATTCTTACTGTTATCTTTCTTATGTTTCTTTATCTTTTCTTTCCTTTTCCGAAGTGGGGAATTATAGACCTGTATATTAAGCATTGTCTCTAAAATACTAGAAAAAGTTGTGTATTTTCAAACGGAAAAGTATTTGCATGAAAACAATATTATTTGAACATCAATCGCGTTTTAGAAAACACTTTTCCACCTACTCTTGCCTCACGCACTTGACTGATCACATAAAATTGAACATATCGAATGGCCTTTATACTGAAATGGTACTGCTTGATCGCCCCAAAGCGTTTGATACGGTTGATCACGCCATCCTCTGTGAAAATCTAATAATCTGATAATAAGCTATCTCTAAATGTTGAGAAAACTGAATGCATTCTTTTAGGCCTAAACTGAGAAAAGTAAACAGCTTTAAAATTAAATGAAAGGACCATTTTATTATGGCAGTTAAATAAGTGACATATTTGGGAATGGAACTGGACCAAGCAGTGTCTGGGTAGACCACTGCCAATAAAACAATCAGAAAGGCAAATGCCAGACTTATTTTTTTTTGTATAGGCAAAGAAAGTGCCTAAATTTAAAATGCCGTAAATTTCTCTGCTCTGCCTTGATACAATGCCATTTTGATTATGCCTTCGCAGCATGGTATCCCGGATTAAGCAAATAAAAACAAAAAACAAACTTCAAGTAGCCCAAAACAAAATTGTACGATTCATCAAGAACCTACCTCCTAGATCTTATATCGGTAGAGTACAATTGTCCAGCATTTGATATTTCAATATTGAAAACCAAGTAAAATGTCTACGGCTCAGTCATGTACACAAAATAGCCAATGGATACAATGCCCCATACTTATCAGAACATTTTGTGAAAGTAAATCAATTCCATCAGCATCGAATTAGAGGCTGTATGCACACATTTGTTGTTCCGTCCGTTAAAGGTATTGCATCATCTTCTTTTTCCTTTATAATGGTATCAAATGCAATAATACAGAGTGTTTTAACTTACTGCTTAATCTGTACATATAAAAACCTGACTAAACAAAATATAAAGAACTTAGACTCCATCAGGAAGACTGTTAAGAAAATTGTTAAAGACGACATTATACATTTAGATTATATTTATGAAAAATACACACTAGCTAAACTTAAGAAAATAATGAACGACACAACTCATCCACTACGTAATGAATTTACTTTTAACAACTCAGGTTTCCGTCTAAATGTACCACCCACCACACGTTGCCGTTATAGAAACTCCTTTGTTCCCAACTCCATTCACCTTTATAATAACAATATTAATAGATAATTTGTAGTTTTAATTAGTAGTACAGTAGTAAGTTTAATGTGTTTAAGTTTAGTTTAAGTTTAACGTGTAATTGTTTTTAATTTTCTTTGTATGTTCATCTTGACTAGATATTGTTTGGTGCTAATTAGTTTCTATATTTTTGTAATTGTTTCTTTATTTATTATATGATATTAACACTTGTTACCTTGCCAGTGATTGCAATTTCTAAGTTTTATTTCAGACAATTAAAGAATCTTGAATCTTGAATCTTGAAATATTGGAACAGTCTTCCGATTTCAACAGGGCATAAATAATACTAGAAACTTTAAAAGTGCAATAAAAACTCATATGGGAAATCAGATGTGTGGGTAATATTGCAAATTTTGGGCTGAAACTTTTCTTTAATTCAGTAATTTTAACACAACATTTTAAATTTTATATTATTATTCTTAATATAATATATTATTATTATTATTATTATTATTAATAATAATAATAATAATAATAATAATAACAATTTAAGTGCAATAATAATAATAATAGCAATATTAATGGATTCACAACTTTTAATTTTAAATTTTCATCATTTTTAACATATTTTAATAATAATAATAATTATTTTAAAAAAATAAATAATAATAATAATTCAAAAGTGCAAAAGGAAATCATTTGGGTAAACACTTAGTTAAGTTTATAAAGTGCAATGTTTGAAATAAGAATGTATTTTCTCTTTTTCTTATCACTTTTTTTCATGTCCTTTATATTTTACTTATTATTAGTCAATTTAGGCATGTTATTGTTAACTGTTTTATGTTTACGTGGTAAAAATGTTTAAAATTTGTTTAAGGGCCTAATGGAAATAAGTTTTATATATTGTAAAACTTTCTTGGGTTACCCTAGGAATTAATGTTTAATGTTTTGTTCTTAATCATTTTATCTGTTCTTTGTTTTTTTGTTTTGTTTTTTTTTTGTATTCATGTAATTTGTGATTTTAATTTCTGAATCAAATGAAATGAAATTCTTCAATAGGAATCAAATAAATTTCTCATACTTTAATTACGTTAGTTCTCTCCAAATAAGAAGATATATTCCTGCATTTTCATTTAAGGGTAGCTTTGAAAGGAGAAAACGATAGTTTGTTATTTGGAAGGAGGTTGGCTTTGGAAATGAAAGATTTCAACTTTGTATATTTGTTTTAATTCCGGGATTCCGGCCTTTTGCTACCCAGACCATTTGCCACACATACTTTCCATAGGAATAGTTTTTATACGTTTTTAACATAGAAATATCAACATACTTGATATGTTATATGACCTTAATCACAAGGATATAGCGCCAATGTTGCCCGTTGAATGTCCAAATAATTAAAATATTACTTTTTTTCAGACTGGAGCTATACCGGCGATACTGGTAAGCGGGTTTTATTTATTATATTTTTTCAAAATATACTTTACGCTAGATTACCTGGGTTTGCTACACAATACAAGAGTATAGAATTGCCAGAGATCCAACTTTATTCTTATTTTGCACGCACACAATGAAACGAAATGCTGAGTACTATCACGAGGTACGGGTACCACTGGTCTCTACTATAGTAGCTGGATTGTTCATTGGCTGGTTACAGTGAAGCCACCGAAGCCATATTGGGCCCTAAGTGACGTCTAGCTTAGCCAATTTTCTTTTGGAATTTGTTTAAATTATTGTTAAAAATAACGATTATTGCAATACTTTTTAATAATAAATTTAAATTTAAGTAGTAATTATATTGCGTTGATAGTGATTAACGTTACAATAACAACGCACCTTCGCTCGCACTTTTTAAACTGCATAAAAACAGTCGCGTCGAATGATTAGATAATTTGAAGAAAAAAAATCCTTACTTTAGATTTAAATTTATTATTGAAAAGTATTGCAATAATCGTTATTTTTAACAATAATTTAAACAAATGCCAAAAAAACTTGTCTAAACCGGTATGTCACTGAGCCCCCCCCCCCAACAGCGCGTCGGTGGCTTCACGTTTATCTGTAAAACGATTGGCCGATGAGCAATCCAGCTATCATAGTAGCAATCAGTGGGGGTACCCTATTAGAATTCGAATAGATTTTGAAACATGTGTTCTCTAAGGGGAAGAACTCATTCTTCTGCTATTTAAGTTCTTTGGTACGAGCGCCTTTTACACCCTTTTGAAGGACGCCCTTTAGTTCATCGTAGTACTTTTTGAGATAGGATAGACTTGGTTCCAGTCCCTAATCTTTGTCTTAATCAGTAAAAAAGCTGGGAAAATCGATTTTGTTTCTCGATATATACCGACGCTGGTGGCGCTCTCCAAAATTAGCTTATACTAGGAAAACCCAGACAGTTCGTTAATGCCACTGTTAATAACTGAAGATGAAATAAATGATATGATATGATACTACTACTACTACTACTACTACTACTGCTGCTGCTACTACTACTACTACTACTGCTACTACTACTACTACTACTACTGCTACTACTACTACTACTACTACTACTACTGCTACTACTACTACTACTACCTAATCTTTGTCTTAATCAGTAAAAAAGCTGGGAAAATCGATTTTGGCACCAATGGCGTTTTATATTACCTATTTGCTTAGCGTTTCATAGTATACTTTTTCAATTCGCATAAAAGTTTCTCGATATATACCGACGCTGGTGGCGCTCTCCAAAATTAGCTAATACTAGGAAAACCTATAATTAGAGACTTGTGGCAAGTTTAGAGATAGGATTGAGTTTCACCAAATTGATTAAATGCTAAAAGACTAGTACGGGGTTTCATATCTTTTATGGTGAAATTGTTCATCGAATTTGCATGAATGTGTATGTTGTACGGTAACTTATATTGGTTACATAGTGTCTAAATTGACTAAAATTGCATACCTATGTGTTAACTTTATAGACTAGGAAAAAAATCAAAAAAGAGGCCTAAAAATTAAGTTAGGGGGAGTGGAATGTTAGAAGCAGTCAACACAGCCAGATATCCTAATTAATCCGTCCTGGTCACCCTAAGCCCTGTTGACACTTGATTTTTCACCTTGTATACAAATTTGGCGGCCATTTTGAAAAATGGCCGCCAAATTTATCTAAAATGTGCATATAATTGGAACTAAATAAGCTACAGATATGATGTTGTCTAAACTCATAATTTCTATACAGGCAACAAACCAGACATATAAAAACTACTGTCACTCTCGCCAGAATGGAACATAATTCAAAAATAAGTGTTTATTTGTTTTAAAATAACCGCAAAATATACCGTACTTAAAATGTGCATAAAATAAGAATAAGTATATAAACTTACCAAAAGTAGTTGTGTTTGGTATCGTTGGAAAGCTCTTCCAATGCTATATAATGTATTGCAGTTTACATATATCAGAAACGGTGTAGTGTTTTATATATTGTCCCTTAAATCCAATTATGGCATATCATATTAAATTAAACTTACAGGACCAATTTGCGTAGCTTGTGAGCTCTCGGGGTGGGGTGGGGGCGCTCCTACTACTACTTAGCACATTACTACCAAGCCTTAAGTAACGCATGTGCTTTCTGGGTGAAGTCCGAGTCCAAATGGGCCATGGAGAGGCCACTACTTATACTTACAGTAACACTGATACTCAACACTCTCCTACAACGCTTAACAAAACATAACCTTTTCTATAATTTCCGAAAAAACCAAACAGGCCTAGACCAAAATTCCACAAACACAATATTTGGCAGATTTATTAGAAGGGGTTCTTTCAACTATGCCTCAGGATGCCCCACTATGGAGGTTTGACCAGTTATGTAATGCCTGTGTGCTTTCTGTGGTAACACTTACTTCCTTCATATCCAAATTAGTCCCGGAAAGATGGCCCCTACTTACTACTACCAAGCAGTCTAATAATACAACGCTTTTGACAAAATATTTTCTTTTAATTTTTTCAAAAATGTATGAGGCCCGGACGGCTGCTTACCCACCTTAATTCCGCCTCCGACTTTAAACATGTCAATAAATAAAGAATAAAATACATGGTTATCCATCATAGTAGGCCTATTATTAAATATTATACACAGCATGTTGAAATCGATTAAATTAATGTATACAGTACATTATAGTCCTACTAATAATTCGGATATTCGGATGATAAACGCCTGCAACATCATCAATTGGACCTTAAAGGACGATGGTCATTTTATTCAGATTGGCCTATCATGTTTCAGAGCAACATAATTTTTGGTATCAAAGTGACACTTTATTGAAAACAATCAATGAATTTTGTTACTCAAACATCTTTATATTGATATTTTCAAGCCTATTAGATGACCTGAACAAAAAGTGATCCAGAAATCGTAGGCTTACTGTACAATGTAATATTATGGCGGAAGTAAATTTTTGATACCGTTACTGTAATCATGGAGGAAAAAAATAGTTTGGCCTAATAGAGCCTATTATTAAATATTTAAAGGTACCTATTTTTTTTGTTTTAACATGCTCTAACTCAGCGTTCCGCAAACTTTTTACTTCACGGCCTATTTACGATTCCAGGCACCAAGCCGCGGCCCAGCAGCCCAGCCGCACCAGGGACAAACATACCAAATCTTGGCAAGAACTTTTGATCATGAAGCCTCCATGTATATACAATATTTTGACATCATTATCTGTTCTCTCAGTGATAACATTTTATTGTATACAAATTAAATACCGGTATTATTTTATAAAATAAATAATACCGTACATTTGTGTATGGTATTACAACATAAAACATATACATATCAAAGTTATTAGGTTAAAGTTCTCATGTCGGTGCATGCATAAAACGTAATTTCCTAAAATTGACAGACAAAATTCTCTATACTATATATACTAATTTAACGAGTGGGCTTATTTGATTTAAGGAAATATATATATATATATATATGTATATTGAGATACGCAAAGTTTAGTAGGTTAGAAGTTTAAAGGAGAGGACTTCCTTATGTTGTGGTCATATTAGACTGTAATAATATCATTAAAAACCATTCAACATAAAACATACGCGGTGCATGAATATAACGTAATTTTGGAATATATGAGATTTACATAAGATTTGAGAATGTACTGAATATAAAATCTTAAATATTTTACATTTTAATCAGCAATCTATCAGAAATACGGGGATTAGTTATACTGTAAAGCCTTCAGAACCCCTGCAATACTAAAACTGTGATCCAACAGGCAGTGAATATTCCATTTTGATTATTAGTGTAGATGTTGTTTACATATTTTTAATTTTATTTGAATTCTTTTTATTTTGTATGATTTATATGTTATGTTTTCCACAGACAGATAAATTGAATGCCTGAACTGATATTTTATGGGTTTCAGATTACTTTCTATACAAAACAGATATCATAAATCATCTATTGTCCGACTGTGTGCATTGAACATTTGACGACGACGATAATGTCTCCAAATTCCCAACCGTAACTTAGGCTACGGGCCTCGCTTGACACTTCACATCTAAGGGCTTGTTAATTAATCTTGCATAGCTTCCTCCTCATCGTCATCATCTTCTTCATCACATAATTATTAATAATTGTCCATAGCAAAATAGCGAAAAACTATGAATTCAAATGTATTCAATAATAGACGTCTCATAATGCATGAAGTGTATTTTTTAAAGAATCTAGAAAACAAAAACTTTTCGAATATCTAAAATTTATCTTCCAGCGACAAAACAAGCTAAGCTCTCTTCTCATGACTCTCCCAATCTGGGAACCCATCTGTGCGGTAACCAGGGTAAACTCTGCATCCGCGCTTGACATGTATTTAATGCTTAAAAAGGTATATTTACAGTATATTTATTTATAGAAAATGATGTTGCATACTAGAACTATCAGTAATATATATACAGATAAAGGCTCCCGAGGGGGCATAGACACAAAAACCGCTTATAAATTAAAAAAAATAGCACGCATCATCTGGCACTTTAGCAGCGTGTGCAAGCGACGCATTCACTGTATCAATGAAGCGGCTTTTATTAAAAACTATTTTTTCCATGATAAAACGTCTCTCTGTTATTTTTCTTTTGAATTTCCAGACGGCTTCGCGGCCCTCCAAAAATGTTTCGCGGCCCAAATTTGGGCCGCGGACCATAGTTTGCGGAACGTCGTTATACAGCACGTAACATAACGGTACCATTGTTCATAGTTACAATATTACTGTATGTAGAATCATCAGTAAGTAGGAAAACACAACATACTGTATTTGCCTTGTCCACCACGAAGTAAGAGTGGGGCCCCTGGCCTATCCGGGGTTCATTTGGACTTGGAGGAACTAAGCATTTCCCCAGAAAGCACACAGGTGTACATATCTGGTCAAACCTCCATAGTAAAATGATGGGTCGTAGTACTGGACTGAACTCATCTAATATATCAGCCAAAGAGTGTGTTTGTGTGATTTTGTTCTATTTGATTTTTTTGAAAATTATAGAAAAAGTTACAAGGCGTTATAATAGAGTGATGGGTAGTACAGTAGTAAGAAGTGCTCGGCCCCCGTGGCCTCTCAAGGACCCATTTGAACTGTGACTTGGCCCATAAAGCACATGCGTTATGCACGATTAAGACTCGATAGTAAAATGCTTAGTAGTAAGAGAACCCATCCCCCACCCTCCACTCCGAGAGCGCACGAACATTAGGCAACTGAGTCCTGTTTATTTTTTATATAGTATGCCATAATTAGATTTACAGGAGAATATATAAAAAACTACACAGTTTCTAACATGTATATACCGGAAAACATAACTCATCATTGGCAGAGCTTTCAAATGATACCAAACACGACAACTTTGGTAAGTTTGATTTTTTTACCTTTTGTGTCTTGTGACTTTATATATTGGTCTATCGCTGTAAATATGTATTATGTTGTTTAGGTGTGATGACAATAAATGTTTAGAGTATAATTCCCTTTCCATTAACACCAATCATGACCATGGTTTATGTGGTGAGTCAGCCATCTTGAAATTCAAAATGGCGGCCGATGACGTTGGGAAAAAATGGCACCTAACTTTTTTTAATTCAGCGCAGTAAAAATGATTAAATTAGTCAATAAAATATATTTTTGCACAGAAATCTATCTGGATTACATAGAAAACTGTACTAGTAGCTTATATAATCGTTCTTATTTTATGTAGGCCTACATTTTAAGTATATTTTGCGATTATTTTAAAACAAATAAACACCTATTTTTGAATTATGTTCCATTGTGGCATGAGTGACAGTAGTTTTTATATGTCTAGTTTGTTGCCTGTCTAGAAATTATGAGTTTAGACACCAAAATCATATCTGTAGCCTATTTAGTTCCAATTTTTTGCACATTTTAGATAAAGTTGGCGGCCATTTTGAAAAATGGCCGCCATTTGTATACGAGACGTAAAATCAAGTGTCAACAGGGCTTAGGGTGACCAAAAGGGATTAATTAGGATATCTGGCTATGTGGATTGCTTCTAACATTCCACTCCCCCTAACTCATTTTTTTCAGACTTTTTTTCTAGTCTATTACTCCTTTTGCAACAATTAAAAAAATTCCGCTGTAGGCATTTACAGCGGATGAAGGTATGTATAATTTTGTAGGACATATTTTCTTGTGCCGTTAACTTGTATGGAAAATTCGAGCAGCAAATTAGCACCGCCGCTACTGATGGTCAGAATTACACCCAGGATGAAGATACAGTGTCTGTGCGGACTTTAAGTTTTGATTCAAATCTTAATTATGATGTTGTATTCGTAGTAAATGAAGACAAGACGCCTGACATATGTTTTGATGAAGTTTGTTCGTCAAACGCCAAGAGTCAGTCTGTCACACTTCCAAAGGATCTCCTATCATCAAACGGTTTGTTGATATAAATACATCCATGTTGTACTAATACTACTACTATTACTACTGCTAAGATGTGTATAAGAATATACTGATACTGATCATTACGTGAGTGATTTCCTGATAATAGAACCTAAAAAATAAAGACTAAAGTATTTTTTAGGTCCCTCTTATTGGGCGGTGACCTATCCAGCATGTGGAGGTGAAAAGCAGTCTCCCATCAATATTGACACTGATGATGTAGAGAAAGACAACCTCGGAACCTTTACCATGGTTGGGTTTGATGACACCAATGATAAAAGCATGATAGTTGAAAACAACGGGAAAGAACGTAAGTAGTCTTAAATACATTTGGAAATTACATACAGTGTGTGTATTTATGTAGGGTTAATTTATCTTCAGGATTAGATAAATTATTACTTTCTTGGTCCGTTTTTCATGTGTATGAAGCGCTGAGGTCTCCATGGCTCTATAAGTCGACCATTATTATTATTATTAATTTTATTATTATTATTATTATTATTATTATTATTATTATTATTATTATTATTATTGTTATTATTAATCTATATAACTATTGCTAATATATTTATCATAATCTATATATAGGCCTATATATAATATATATGTATATATATACATAATATATATTAGTATATTTATATATATTATTATACTGTACATTTAACATGAATTAGTATATAAATATAAATATATATCATTATACTATTATGTTTTAGTAATAAGATACAAATAGAGGACAAAAAATGAATTATTAACATTATACCTATAATTATGCTGCCATTTAATACTGTGTGTGAAATTGATAGTAAGCCATGTGACGCCATCGTATTTTGTGTATTATATAGTGCAAGTAAATCTTGTCGGAGATTATTCAATTTCTGGTGGCGGACTTCAAGGTTCATATTTGCCTGTTCAGTTCCACTTTCACTGGGGAAGAAATCTTCAAGAAGGATCTGAACACTTGGTCGACAGTACTGCATACCCGGCAGAGGTACGCTGTGCGATAACTATTACTTTTGTTTCAGGGTACCTTTAAAGAATATTCTGGGTTCCGGTCTTATAATTGGCATTGTTAAAAATGGGCCTTTAAGCATCTTTGATGACATCTACTTGTAAAAAGGACATAAAATATATTAAACAATATCAATTTAAATTAGACATACTTTTAAAAATGTTATCAAATGAAATAAGAGACGAACTCAGTTTGAACTTAAACATAGTTATTAATCGACTTAAAATCCACTTTATTGAGAACTAAATAGTGTACGTACAAACAAATTTTAAACTTGTATATAAAGCTCTAATTTATCCATAAATATTTATATTTTAACATGGAACAACTTATTTTACCTTTATGTTGCTATAGATTATTTTGTTGCTAGCGGGACTTAGGAGAGCTCCCAGACAGTTCGTTAATGCCACTGTTAATAACTGAAGATGAAATAAATGATATGATATGATACTACTACTACTACTACTACTACTTCTACTACTACTACTACTACTACTACTACTACTACTACTACTACTACTACTACTACTACTACTACTACTACTACTACTACTACTACTACTACTACTACTACTACTACTACTACTACTACTACTACTACTACTACTACTACTACTACTACTACTACTACTACTAACTACTACTACTACTACTACTACAGTCTACTACTGCTACTACTACTACTACTAATACTACTACTATTACTACTGCTACTACTACTACTGCTGCTGCTGCTGCTGCTACTGCTACTAATACAGCTGCTACTGCTGCTGATCTCCTACCCCTCCCAAGAACTTGTCAAGCTCCACACTGCTGTAATCTATATTTATTATTTTTCTTGCATTTCAGATGCATATTGTCCATTATAGTGACAGGTTTGCCAGTTTAGCTGATGCAATCAATGATCCAGCAGGACTGGCCATTCTAGGTGTTTTCATTGAGGTGCGTTCATTTTTGTTGCACACGTGGTTACTGAGTTAAAATAATTATTGTGCATCTGATAACCCTCAAATATGACTATTGTAATATTAAAATAATCTGTTTTAAAATTCTCCATAGCAGCGATTAAAAAAAAACTTAAAAAAAACCATAGCGGGTAATTTATTTATGGTGCAGTTCACCTTCCAATTCGAGACTAACTTTGGCAAATAAATATTTGTGGTGGTCTCGGGTTTTTGTCTCCATTTAGAGGATTAGACGTGTGTTACCATATTGAAGGTTGTTCTTTTTTCAAGTGGTTTCGAATTGGAGGGTGCACTGTAGTATTACTTATCATGATTAGTAAAGTAAGCATGATGATGATAATAATGATACGAATGATCACGATTATCACGATGAAGATGACGATTGCCATGATGATTGTGATGATGACTATAAAGTCATGTAGCTTCACAACAATAGCAATGATTACAATGGTATGTCACATCGTAAGTCTAAAAATATTTACCCTAAACTAGGATAGGATTTCAGTTTAAAAACACCAGAAATAACCCACGAAAGTTTGAAGAAGACTTTCCAGTCTGGTCCTCCGGGGAGTGATTGGTCAGTACACAATCCCTAACTCTTTTCGAAAGAGTGTCTGCGTTCTTTAACGTGCACATGGGCCATAATGCACACGGGACCAAAGGCTTAAACATTTTCTCCGAAAGACGGTGTGCTATCGTAACTTGCATTTCAGCCCTCTAGCTGAAATCAAGGAGAGCAGCGATAGGAATTGAACCGGGGACCAAGAGAACTCCACGGATCAGCGTACACACAGTGGCGCTACCACCAGTTTAGCCAACCTGAGCTAAGCTGTTCTCTCGATCATAAAAATCAAAAGATATTTATTTCAGTAGGTTATACCAAGGTTAAACCTATGATATAAAGAACCTAAAATATGAAGATGATATTTTTGTTTTTATAAATTCTTATCGTTGTAAATTTTGTTTCCAGGAATCTACTGAAGACAATTCGAATTTTGATACAATTTTTGGTGTTATAGATGATGTTCGATATCCAGGTACGTTAAGAGGAATTATGTAATTATTGCCCAACCTGACGTGCGATCGTAATGTATACTCAGTAAGTCCACCCTGACAGAAATAATATACGGTGAAAGAGTTGCCTATGATTTGATTCTAATCATCTCCAGTATAATATCCAATCAAATAAAAACTACTGAATATTAAGAATTAGCCGTGTTCCACTGCACCTGAACAGAGAGTGTGACCATAAGCTCATTCATTCATTTCGATATAGGTCCACTATATATACTGTCTCTTATACACATCTAGATGTGTATAAGAGACAGACTACTACTAATACTACTACTATTACTACTGCTGATATATAATAATATATATACATTATATAATACAGCATCATTTCTATTAAATAATTTCCCGTAAAGAGAAACACGATAGAGATACCATTATCATGCAGTAATAAAATACTAGAACAATAATAGTTGATAGTTTACGTTCAATTTTTCATTTATTTTTTTTCTTATAACAGGGAATCAAACCGCAATTCAAGTTTTTAACTTGGAAAATGTTTTTCCAGATGATCTTACTAAATTTTATCGCTATAATGGCTCACTGACTACGCCAGGATGCCAGGAATCTATTGTGTGGACCGTGTTTAAAGAATCCATCTCCCTATCGAATAGCCAGGTAAAAAATCCTGTGTTAAGGGTATTTCTTATTTTTGTATGGACAAGTCACCATACGGATCACAATGTAGCGTATTAATAGCCAATTTATGATGAGGAAATGTAATACAATTATTGACACTTAAGATTAAGAGTATTTATAACAATTAATAACAATCGCTAATCTTTAACACATAGCTAACCCTCTTAGGTCCCAAACGTGTTTCGACCCTGGTTGTTTTGCAGTTTTATGTATGCGACCACCTCGGCGCATAATTCGAATTATTTTTCCAACAAGCCAAGAATGAAGGCGAAAATCGCTCCAGATGCGTTATTTTAAGGATGCATGGAGTTTGATACTAATGAACAGCGAGTGCCATAAACACCAAGCTTCCTCGATTATGGATGGTTGTAGTAGAAAACACAATTCCACGGAGATCGTACAGAAAAGTATCTTTCTCCAAACTAGATACCGGTCGCTAATGAGTACAGACATACGCTTTCACTTATTCGCCCGGAGTGTGAGCTAAACAATTAGGTCAATGATGGTTTGAGTAAAATTAGTTAGCAAGATTGATTATGTATAAGTTGCGTCATTCGGAAAAAAAAGTCAAAACATGATGTTAGTGAGTTTGGGTTTGATCATCGGACATATTAATGTTAAAATCATATTAATGTTAGAAAGTACTATAATCTGATTACATTCACAAAAGGCTCTATTAATTAATTCACTCATTTTAAACTGAACGGAACTTGAAGGTAGCCTGTAAATAAAACAAATATGTATGAACCACCTTTCGGATTTTAACAATACACGCGTATAGGTATAAGCATGAGTCTGATACCTCAGTGCTTAGCAATTATTGCTAAGAAGATTGTCGATGACATTAAAACATATTTTGTTTAACTAACTATTATAGTTAGTTAAACAAAATATGTTTTAATATAATTGATAATCTTCTTATCGCAATAGTTAGTTAAACAAATATGTGTTAATACAATTAACAATCTTCTTTATCGTTTTCTTTTCCCAATTTATTCAGATTGAGCTTTTCCGAACCTTAGTAGGTGACGACGGTAATACTATCCAGCACAACTTTCGACCACCTCAGCAACTGAATGGACGTAAAGTTGTTTTCTCCAACCCTGACTATGACCCATCACATGGCAGTGTTCTTGTACCGTCTCTTCTTGTATCCATCTTCAGTATCGTCATTTTGACGTTTTTGAAATAGATAGAATGGAATATAGTCCAATCGATCTCTACAGTTATTTCGAATCAAGCAGGTATATAGGTAAAGGGGAACGAATACTTACTGACTGAGGACACAATTGGTCAATGACGTCATTTGTAGCCAGGAAGTTGATTTAAAAAAAAAACTAGTGTTACTTGGATACTTTAATTCATTAGCCCTTTATTCTTTGGGTAGGGCCCACGGTTTCAGATAATTTAAATTTGCTTCTCTGGAACACAAACAATGTTTGTCACATTCAACATCTTTACACGTCTATGGTTTGTAAATTATGCCTATTAAAGCAATTACAGTATTCAGAAAATACATACTCGCACTTTATCGACAAAGCCAACTGTTGGAACCATAGATTGTACAGTGACTCAATTGCTCTTATTAAACTTAAATAAATGGTAGGAATATCATCAGGTATTAAACCAATATGTCTCTGCCTACTGACAGTTAGGTCTAGCATTACACTGATGTCAAGCGACAATCTACACGTCGATCATTTTGTACCAGACATTATTATATAGTCTGGTACAGAGTGGTAGATACGATGTAATATTTTTTGCAATTTAGAGCAAAAATAATTATCAGTGATATTATGATAGTGGATATCGTTTTTATTTGTACTTAAAACTGGCGTGCAAAAGCAAACACGTGTCTTATAATTGATTTGCTTTGATGGTAAACAGCGGTAATACGATGGAAAGTCGACTGACCAAACGATGGTTCTGGAGGTGGAAGCGTCTCGGATAAGGACTATAACCTGTAGGCTCAGTGTACATAATTGGCTCATGTGCACTTTAAAGAACCCAGTAATTTTTTCGAGACTAGTAGTGGGTTATCCCGGTTGACTGGTTCATAGAGTCACGGTTATCTAACGGTTATGGACCATTAGGTCCTTTGCAGGACGTACCTACATGTAAACTTAAATAGTAATTATACAATTATATATTCTATGATGGGGTGACTTTATTCATTTTGCTACTTTTCAACATATTATTTGTAAATAATACTTAGTTGTTGGTCACTGTTTTCTCTTTATAT